GAGCCACAGGTGCTGCCCTATACCACTTATTTTTAAGACCGAATAGCTATAAATATGAGCGAAATAAGGCTTTGAGCAGGAGTTCTTAAAAAATGGGATTCTAGATAGTCTTATAGAAATGCCCTAAAGTTTATATGCAAAGTTTTGTATGTGTTTTTCCATAAGAAAGCTTATGGCAGATTCTCAAAGAGTCTGTTACCCCCCAAAGCTAAGAACCGTTGGTTTTTATAGAAACATAAAAAGACAGAGGTAAGGACTGTACTCATGTTTATCAGTGCCTCGGTGAACGCTGTCAACGAAGATTGGAGCTCTTCAGTTGTCAGGCTAATGACAGTGCTCCTCTTTCTTTCCCTGTAGTGTGTTTACCTTCACTGCCTTGTGGAACTTGTGTGCTAAAAGTATTTGAGCTTCTCACACCCGGTCACTTCCTCTGTGAGTGGAGCTGGTCTTGCCTCCTGTTGCTACTCCTCAGCTCATTTCAAAAATCAGTTCACACAGTGGTTTCCATGTTTTTTTGATGGCTGTATTGATTTGATTCTGACTGAACGTTTTGTCAGGAAATGATGGTGGTTATTCTTTGCCCTGAAGATAGTGACTGGTGCTTGGAAGGCCGAGAAGGAAAATGCTTTGTTGCCTCCGCAGGATGTGCTGGTGCAGGGGACAGGGAATGTGATTCTTGCAGGGATGACCGATTTCTGGAGGCCAAAGCTGAGTGGGAGTCAGTAGACTTTTTAAAGTCATTGTTCAAAACAGCGTAAACTACTGTTTCTGGTCGATATTATTCTCAATTATTCTGTGATGAACGAGGTGGCAGAGGCCAGTGATAGTTTATTTTACAATTTTATCGTGAAAATCTAAATTGGAAAGAGTTTGTAAATAGTTTTCTTTAGACTTCGAAGGATTGTTAATAATCTTGTCTCTGGGAAAACATTTTGGTGCAAACAAATCTGAGTAGCACTTTTTTTCTCCCCCATCTTGGGATACTGTAATTGGAGGAGTTGCCAGGGCTCAGCTGTAAATCCTAAATTCTACTGAAGCTTAAACTTTGAATGATGTGTTTGAAGAAACCCAGAAACTCAGATGTCCTGTGGACTGACAATCTCGATAGAGTCAAATGCTACAAGAATTACCTCAAATCTACTTTATGCTAAACCATACTCGGTACTATGAGGATCTATATCTTTCTAAAATAGTCTATATTTATATTAGAGTTGTTTTCTAATGTGCTTGGGGTAGTTGCCTTGGAACTGTCTTAGGGGCACAGCCACATCGTCCTTGGCCTTCCTGGGGTGTTAGGTGGAGTATCAGTCTTTGGTATTGTACGGAAGGCTTCGACACAAACATGGGCCATGGGAAGTCCTGTGATGACTTCTAGAAGCGTGTTGGCAAAAACTGAAACTGCATGAACTCGGACTGGATTGTGTTCAGTTTATGGAAATTTTATGGTTTGTCCTCTGGCTGCTTTTCCCCTGTTTCGTGGGGTAAGTGAACCTGTCTTTTTACAAATTCCATCTTCCTTCTTTTTCTCCTCCTCCTACATGTGGCTGAGTGACAACTGTGAGATTGCTTTAGGGTGAACTATTTTTAGAAAAGGTTTATGAAGAAATGGATGTATGTTTTTGTTATCCTGAAAGATCAAAGTTACTCTCGGGGATGAGAAAATAAGCAGCTGCAGCTGCAGGGCACCAAGGTGCTGCTCAGCAGCGTGCTCAGGAAGCAGGCGGTGGGCTTCCAGCCGAGTGGTGCTACTGCACAGTAATGGCCAGGGCTGTCCCAGTGACAGTAGACGTGTAGCCACTGGAGAGGTAGCATGGTGGACCCAAGGAGTATCTGGATGTTTGCAAACACGGAAGAATCTTGGAAAGAGTAACACACAATTTTTCTTGCTTTGATAAAGTGTTCATCTTTATAGTGTTACTAAATATGTCTTATATCCAAATTGGTCTTTTCAATTTCTACCCACTCAGAGGTAGCAATTATCATCAGAAGTGCTATTCTTAAATGCAAAATTTTATTGGCGAAATGTTAAAAAATAAAAATAGAAAATACTCTGTAGTTGGTGTTTTTATTTAGAAATACAGGTGATTATTCTTTTCAGTAGCCATTATACTACAAATTACATATAACTTTGACAGGTGGCACTATTCCCTAATTTCTATACTGTTATAGAGATTTATTGCCTGTATGTAAACTATAGCTTTAGAAATATAGCTGATGGGCTCAGCACCTGTGGCTTAAGCAGCTAAGGTACCAGCCACATATACCAGAGCTAGCGGGTTTGAATCCAGCCTGGGCCTGCCAAACAACAGTGACAACTACAGCCAAAAAATAGCCAAGCATTGTGGCGGGCACCTGTAGTCCCAGCTACTTGAGAGGCTGAGGCAAGAGAATTGCTTGAGCCCAGGAGTTGGAGGTTGCTGTGAGCTGTGATGCCACTCTACCCAGGGCGACAGCTTGAGGCTCTGTCTCAAAAAAAAGAAAAGAAAAGAAAGAAATACAGTGGATGAAGAAAGTAGCATCCTAAGCCCTGGCTGCTTCATTTTGAACAGTTAGGATACACCCAAGGAGTGTGTATATGCTAAAGCATCATTCAAAGGAGTCTCCCTTGAGAATGTGGAAATCTTTCAAGTGAAAAAAGCAATTTCTGTCTTACTACGTATCTAAGCACTCATTGATCTCTATCAGTTTTTTAAGTTTTGATTTCAATGTATTGTTTTTTTTTCCTGTTTTAAGTTGGGGGATATTTTTGAGGTCAGACATTTTTATGTCTTCTTGCTGAACTCAGGTTAATATGGCATTTTCACCTCATTCTGAAACTGAGTGGTTACTTCCTTTAGATTTGTAGTTCTGATTCAGACACGCAGGAGTTTAGATGTTAGTTTCAGATCTTTATTGTTCAATAGGTTCAAATTATTTATTATAATTTCCAGCTTTACATTGGAAGGGTTTTTAAATCCCTCATTCTGTTTTTCACATTAGATAAGCCTAGCTTCCCCATTTAGTTTTTTCCAGATTAAAAAAAGCATTAAAGTGACTTAGTCATGGTCTTATGCAGGTTAGTGATAGCTAAAACAACAACTCAGACCCGTGTAACGCGTAAGAGTTAAGAGCTCTTTTATTATAGAACCTTGTCTTAATCTTTATTGTAAAAGCTTTGTAATTCTCATTTATTTACTGGGTGAAGTTGAGCTGGTTTTTAGAAAGCAATAGGTCTTTTAAAGTTTCCCCTGTAGGTTAAATACCCAGGGATTGGCTGATTAGAAGGTCTCGAGCAAAGATTACAATAAAATTCCCTTTATTGCTTAGCATCACGCATGACTTCTTTCTTTAAAGAAAACTGCAGAAATTGTCCAAGTTAGTTAACTCCTGAGGCAAGAAAAGCTCCTTTATCCTCTAATAAATTAAGGAGGCATAAAAATGGCCCCTAGCGAATAGTGTCTGAAAAATTCTTAGATATGGTCCATTTATTTAGAAGATGAATTCAGTGAAAAGAGATGGTGTTTTTGAGTCTTTCTGCTGAAAACAGCTCTGTGTATTAATTCCTTTAAGAGAGCGAGAACGGGAGAGACACAGGCATCGGGACAACCGAAGATCACCATCTCTGGAAAGGTCCTACAAAAAAGAGTATAAGAGATCTGGAAGGTAAGCGAGGAGTTGACACCAAAAGAGGTCATAGGATTATCTCCTTGAATTCCAATTTTGTGCTTGTGCACGGTATTAGCCAAGTGTTCATAATAGTCTCAGAGTCCAAGATGACCTGTGAAAAGATAAAGCAGCCTGTAACTTAGAAGACTTTATTTTCTAGATGTATTGATAATGCACAAAGAAGATCTTGATGAATTTCCACAAACTAGAAATTACACAGACTACTTTTTCTGATCATAAATGCTATAAAACTATACATTAATAATTCAAATTATTTTTAATAACCTTGACAATTCATAATTATGCTCTTAAATTTACTTGTTTCAGAAACAAACTTGCAGTCATACTTTCTTTAGAAAAAGAAAGCAATGAGATTGCTGTAACTCAAAACTTACAGGGTATACCTTGTTCTGTGTCCAAAAGTAACATTGTATGGTCTTATGTAACGATAATTTAGAGTAACATTGAGTCTGGCAGATTTGGATCAGTTGTTAGCTTTCCCCATTTTGTTACTGTTTAAAGTTTTCTAACCTTTCTAAGACTCGGTGGTTTCATTGTAAAAACAAGGATAGTTATACGTAGTATTTACCTTGTAACTGATCTAAAGTAAGTGCCAACTAAGTGGTAACTCTATACCTAATTATTATCTGAGCACTTGGCTTTAGAAGTGGGTAGAGTATACAGAAAGAAGAAAAAGAGATTTAAAGATAAAATAAAAAGAGATTTAAAGATAAAATGAAATTGAAATTGTAGCAATATAACCGTATTTGTAAATAAATGCAAGCCTTGGTTCTTTGAAAGATCATCCAATTAAAAAGTGGGAAATCAAGGAAAGAAAAATGTACATAATATTAGATTTGGGAAAGTGTATGATTGCAAGAATGAAGATGGTTTATAAATCATAAAACAGTCTAAGAACAAATATTTTATTTAAAAAATTAGAAACTTGAATGTGGTTGGTTAGTTTCTAGGAAAACAGAGACTACAGATTTCGTTTAAAAGGTATAAAACTTTAGTAGGCCAATAACCATGGAAAGAAGCTGAGTTTGTGCTGTCTCTAAAAAATTTTGAACTGTTATAGAACGCTAACGCAGGTAGAAGAAAAGTGCTGCTCTGCTGTGGCAGTAGGAAAACCCAAGTGACAAAACCTAACCAAGGAATTGAACTGTCCAACAGTCTGTCCAGAATATAGATAAAAATACTCAAGAATCGTGGCAAGTTGTTTTTAGTTTGTGTTGAAATGCACGTAACCAATAGAGTTTATTCCAAGGCTACATGGTTAGATAGATTAGTATTAGTATTAAAATTTGTAATTGCTTATGTCAAAATCATTATAGCATTATCTCAGTACCTGATGAGTAAGTCTTTAAAATAAAGCCAGCAGTACACTAGGAAAATTAGCAGACTTCGTTAATATGGTGAAGAACTATCTTATTATGAACATGATTGAAACTATCTCAAAAAAAGCCACATTTAGCATTGAAAACTAGGGGCGTTCCCAAGCAAGTTAGAAAATAGCGAGGCCCCGTTGCTTATCACTCTTACTAAATATCATCAGAACTCGATCAATGGGCTAGTTAAAAACCTGAGGCTCCAGTGTGTCGAGGTGTCATCCGCACCATTAACAAGAGTTCCCTACTGTACAAGAAGAAGTAAGTTAAATGCTGTCACATGTTGCTGTGGGAGGAAAGCAGTGAGAATCCAGTCTAGGGTAGTGTGTCAGAGAAATTGAGGTTTCCCTGACACTTAAGCTGTACATGTGCGTTGGGGAAGGAGAATAGTGGGGCCGAGAGAAGATTGCACTGTGCAGAAATGCTCCGAGGGGGGTCAGGCTGGAGGCCGGAAATGAGTTTCTCAGCCTTTTATAGTAATCCACAGGAGAGATGACTGTGGCCTAGACCAGCACAATGACAGCGGTAACTGGGCAAGGTAGACACTGTTGAGAGATGCTCATGTGCCAGAGTCAGGAGGACTTGGTAACTGTTCAGATGTGTTAGGGGCGGGGAAAGAAGAGTTGAGTGATACCTGAGATCGGTCTTTGCCGTTCAGGATGGGAGACAGTGAGGAGGAGGCAAGAGCATGAGTTCCTTTAGAACTGGAGGAATTCGAGACAACCAAGTGGAATCATGCAGTAGTGAATTGGATGTGCAGATGTAATGGTCAGAAAGTGACCCTAGCTGGAGATGCTAAATGCTGTGGATTAGATGAGATGAACTGGAAGGGTGAGCAGAGGGCCTGAGAAGGAGGAGAGGAGGCAGGAGAAAAGCCAGGGTATTGTTGTGTCAGTGGACATCCCTGAGGACTGATTGGAGGTGGGTGACTTTTCATGTGTAAGTGCTGGAAATTTCCTCAGTGTAGTGGTTTCTTCTTTCATGCCTGCTGGCTTGCAGAGATGGCAGACTTGGATTCTGTGAGTTTTAACTAATGCAGTTGATGGGAAAATAAAAATTAGCAATGGAGATCTTGTAAATGATGAAAAGTTGCCACAGTTTACAACATAGCAGCATGTTGTTAAAAAGAAATAATTTGGAGTTTGGATTTTGAATCTTGGAGTGTTTGAATCACTTACCTGAAAACGAAGTTTTGTTCCTGTTTTGAAATGCCCCTATCAACGTGTTAAAAAGAGAAAATACTAGTTATTGTTCACCACAGACAACTCTGACCATTGGCCCCATCATGCAACACACCTGCCAAAAGGGATGGGGTGAGGATGTCTTTTGGCTGTATTTCTTAATGACGATAATGATAATGGTTGAACATTTAGTGGGATTTTTTTAAAAACATGTTGACATGTAACTAACTACTCCTTCCAAGTTTTATGGTATTAGATAAGTGACTAATGTTTAGGGGTGCTTTCCTCCTTTGTTGGTGATACCAATATCTGCCTGACTGGGCTCTTATAAGAATTAAATGTGGGAATGTGAATAAAATACTTAACCAGAGTATCAGGCTCACAGTAAACACCCAGACAAACAAACAAGAGCCACTGGGAGGTAAGAGTTACCATTATTGGCTGATGGTATTTTAATAACCTTCCTAAATACCAGGAAAACCTAGTTAAAAATGCAATGGGAGAAAAAAGTAGATTCATTATAGAACTTGTGCTAATTAAAATTAAATATCTTTAATAACTTAAAAAAATAGGACCAACGGGAAGAAAACTGTAAACTGTCTCTGGTGACAAGTGGTGTAATGAATGGAAGCATGCCATCTCCCTGTGGTGGACGGCCATCTTGTAAAAATACCGATTTTGTTTTTTCAAAACACTGTAATCTCTAACTTAAAAGTAACTTCAGTTGAAACACTGGTTTTAGAACTTCATCATGAGTCTTTAAGTTTTCTTTGGAACAGAAGTTTGAATAACGAAAAAAAAGCCATAATCCAGGGATATTTATTGTCGTAGTATTGATGTTCTGGAAATACATATTAATTGAAAACCTCGCTATGGCTACAGATTAGTGAAACAAATGCTGAGCAACATTGAGATAGATCTAAATTTTATACCTAATAAATAATTATAAAATTATGTTTAATAAATAGTAAAGTTGTTTTAAATCAGAGGAGAAACTGGCAGTTGGCAAGTTCTTTGGAGAAAAAAATTAGGCTAAATTTCTGCCTTACATCCTGAAGAGCTGGAGAAAAAACATTTAATGCTAAAAATTACTAAAGAAAATATAAAATATTTAGCCTTGATCTGAGAAAGGTTTTCCAAGCAAAGCACTAAGGTAGAAAGCATAAATTAAAAGATCTTTAGATTTGGCTTTATTATAATTATACATAGCAATAAGCAAATACACAGAATTAAAAGGAAAACCAAAACCTATAAGAGGTTATAGTACATGTGACAGAAGGATGATTATCTTAATGAAAAGTGTTTCTAGGGCGGCGCCTGTGGCCCAAAGGAGTAGAACTCCAGCCCCATATGCTGGAGGTGGTGGGTTCTAACCCAGCCCTGGCCAAAAAAAAAACCTACAGAAAAACAAAAAAAAAATAATAAAAACTTTTCTACAAGTAAAGTGCTATGATCCTAATTAAAAAAATTAACATAACATATGACCGAGATATTTTATAAAAGACGTGAACATGAAATGTATTTATTTCAGTAGTGATAAAATATTGAAAATTAAATGAGGTCAAGGCTTTTTCATTGGAATGGCAAAGATTAAAAACAACCAAGATGATATGATGTGAGGAAAGGGAAACTCACGGAAGGTTTTGACAGTCGTCTGAACTAGTGCTGCCTATCTGGAGAGAAGCTTTGAAAGAACGTGTCCACTGTGGGAAGTGGTCTGACGAGTGTGCGGAGAACAAAATGTGCTCATGATGAGAGAAGCTAACCTGAATGACTGTCATAAGATTTATTAAATTATGCTATATACATATAAAGAACAGTAGGCATCCATTAAAGGGGTTCAGCTATAGATGTGTGGAAGTAGAGAGGAGTTCCTGATTTACTGTTCAATGACAAGAGCAGGCTATAGAGTTCTCTTTGCTGTAAAAACATGTATATATTTAGATGTCTATTCATCTATATATGTTTTTAAACATTGGTGAAATAGAGTGGTTATCGCTGAGTGGTATTATGGGTGATTTCTGCATTATTTTTGTTGATGTTTGTACTTTACTATGGAATGTGCACATTTTCCTTTAAAAGTCACTCTTTTTTTTCTGGTAACTAATGATACATATTGTAATATTTAGAAAGCATATAAATACATGATCAGTGTGTCTAACTTCCTAATCCCTGCCCCCTGCCCAGTACTCATATAAACACATAGCCGTTCTCTGATAAAATTAGAAGTTAGTGATACAGTTAAAGAAAATGGATAATCTGTGACTTTGATCGTTGCAAGCTTTCTTGGATAGTGGCAACTTTGTTAGTGGAGCCGGACACCTGGCCTAATAAAGCAGTTGTTCTCCTGTGCTGAATTCTCAAGGTCTGTATGTTCTGCCTAAATTTCTTGGGCACAAATTAAAATCTCCCCTTTAGGATTTCCCCTCTAGGTACGTCTATAGGCTGAGTCTTCACAGATTTTAAACTCTAGGAATTCGAGGAGACAAAGTTATTTTTTCATCCTTTTTTACGAGTGAATTTTTATTCGTGGGGATTAGAAGGAAGTCAAAGTGTTGGTGGCTAAGTAGCAATACCCAAGTGTGAGGTTCCAGAGAAGCAGTTAGGGGTGATATACCTGGTTCTCTTGGATTATAGTCCACAGGCGGAATTTATGGCCAAATCTTTTTTTTTTTTTTTTGGTCCTGGTGAAGCAAGACATGGAGGACTCAAAACTGATATTCTCGTTGCTGAAATTGATCATATGTGGAGATTTCCAAGTATTCCCTAAGTATCTTTCTCTTCTAGGAGTTACAGTTTATCGGTTGTTCCTGAACCTGCTGGATGCACACCAGAATCACCAGGGGAGAGTATTAAAAATACAGATTCTTGGGCCCCACCCCTGGAGGTTGTGAATCAGTAAGTAGATCTGGGGTGGGGCCTGGGAATTTGTATTTTTAAACGAATAAACTTCAGGTGATTCTGATGCCACCAGACTGGTATTTGGGAATCACTCGTTTAAAAAATAAATGTGGTAGTTCGGCATGGAATTTCTATCGTAGGTGAAAAATGCACCAAACAAGTGAAATGATGCAGTTTTTTACAATGGAAGAGCATTTTTAATAATTAACCTCTCTTGCCCCCTTTTGAAGTCGCTCCCCAAGTAGGGAGAAGAAGAGAGCTCGTTGGGAGGAAGAGAAAGACAGATGGAGTGACAGCCAGAGCTCCGGCAAAGAGAAGAACTACACCTCCATCAAGGAGAAGGATCCCGAGGAGACGCTACCTGACAAAAATGAGGAGGAAGAAGAAGAACTTCTCAAGCCAGTGTGGATTCGATGTACCCATTCAGAAAACTACTACTCCAGTGACCCCATGGATCAGGTGGTAGGTCTGGAGCAGGAGAAGCTGCAGAGCAGGGTTGCTCCACCGTGGCCCTGCTGGCGTCATGGGCCAGATCGTTCCTTATTGTGGTGGCTGCCCTGTGCATTTAGTGAACTCTACCCACTAGATGCCGGTACTGACAACCAAAAATATGTTCAAATATTGTCATATGTTACCTGGGGGGAATAATCCTCCTAGTTGAGAATCATTCCTATGGACAAAAGCTATTTTTGAAAGTCAAAGACCAATAGTGTAGTAGGTTAATGAAAGTATCTCTTTAGTTTGCACTTTTTATGACACTGATAATCTTGATACCAGAGACTTCATAAGCTCTCACCTATAACTAGTTTAAGTTTGTAGGGGGTGTGTGTATGTTTTTCTCCAAAAACAGGAAATAAGAACTGGAGTTTGTCTTTTCAGAGTGTATCCTTGACTATTTCCCTACCATAGGAAGTCTCCCATGCATGTTGGCTGCGTGTGGAAGGGGAACTATTGTCAGTCACCCCTTAATGGGCTTTAGAGGGGACTCCTGATGCACATACAGCAGGGGCTGGGTGCCTGTGGCCTGCAGCCAGCATGCTCATGGCCACGGCGGACTCTACGAACTCCTCCATCAGCTTGCTTCTCTTTCCTTTTTCTTTCTTCCATCTCCAATTTATTCTGTCACTCTCTCCTTTCTCCCTCTTCCTGTCCTCTCCATGGATGTTATGCCTCTATCCCATTAGCATAGGTCTGTTTGCTTCAGATAGACGCATGATAATGTTCATTGACTAAATGAAG